ATAGTAATATAGAATAGAGTAAATAAATTCAATTATTGCTACAGCTTAAGTGACTTAAAGTAAACTTGTGAGGTCCAGTAAAGGTTCCAGGGTCCAGTAGATTACACTGTGGTTGGGTGTGTTTTTAGTGAGCTGTTAATTAATCACAGTTCTCTGTTGTAATGTATTAAGCCTCAAGCTGTTCCTAAAGCAGCGGTGGTAATAAATCACCCTGAAGTAAATGCCGTGAATGAGATTAACTGATCACTAAAATGTACTTAAAAGGTATGAAAACCTACTAACTCTATATGCAGAAGAATGGCAGCTGCCAGTTTAGGAATAATCTGCATGATGAGACCGTCTATAAAAAGTACCAACTACAAAACTTTTGTGTCTATTTGTAAACAGGCTGTAGACACCAGGGTTTATGAAGGGGTGTATATAAAATAAACAAAGGACCTGTTTTGCAAGTAGCGACTCTGCGCTCTACATTATAAGCAATTAAAATATCTTTATACAACTAATATGGTATTTGTTTTAATTTTCTACTTCCCTCTTGGCCAGATTGTTTTTTAAACATTAAGTATGATAAGTCTTTTTACTGGATAAGTAAGTAAGTAGGTAAGTAAGTAAACTGTATTTATTAAGCGCTTTTCACAGACAGACAATCACAAAGCGCTGTACACAAATATTAAAATAAACAATAAAATCAATAGACATTATATACAATGTAAAAGATCAAATGTAAATAATGTAAAAAAATATAAAATATGTAGATCAATAAAAGGCTTGTTTGAACAGAAGAGTTTTTAACTGTTTTTTAAAAGAATCCACAGAGTCAAGCAAACGTAATTGATAAATAAAGGACATATAAAAGTCACTTCAACTTTCACTTGGCACAGAAAGACTTGATATCACTCATGTTTGACAGATTATGGTTCAAGCCATTTACAACAGCAATCAGAGGATCACTCTCTCTGACGCCACCCTCTGGTAAAACACCTGAGTTACTATCTTCTGGTGCACAAAGCTCTCTTTCGTGATAATACTATTTGTTCTTGTGTAAGCTGCAAATTGCTGTTGCAGCTAAAGCTCTACTGTATATAAAATCAACCAGGCACATGTGAATTCGCATTACGAGACACGCTAAAAAAAAAAAAGAAAAGAAAATTGCAGTATAAGAAGTTGTGCAGACCAAGTTCATTAAATCAGCTCACCTGAGTGCATTAACGGGAGGACTTTGGAGAGTAATCAAGCCCACGGAGCCCGAAACGCGAGTGTACTGAGCCATGGTGTCGAAGGAATACTTGGAGATGTCGCACTCTCTTTTTTGCTGTGCAGACTGAACTTTGAAACTTGACTTTAATCCAGTTAGCAATCCTTCATCACCTTTGTCACACTTCCTCCCCCTCCGTGTAAACAAACGCTCTTCTTCTACGGCAAACACTCGCGCTTATCGCCCCCTACCGGAAGCAGAGTTTATGAGTAATTATTTTTTTCCCCCGCCTTTTATATTATTGATATGTACTTTAATCTGATTAATAAATTATAAGATATACTTGTGGGTGCTAGTGGGTTAGTACTTTGAATATTTTAACTGTTCTATTGACATGGGGATGTGACGTCACTGCGGCGGTTGGTTGCCGCTTCTTGCTGTTGCTATTTACGCTGACGGCAACCGGGACGTGAAGCTTTTTTCTGGCTATCAAACTCAGGATAACATGCGCTCCCTCGTAGGACTAATTACGGTTGTCGCCGCAGCCAGCTTGTATCTATATTCCCTGTCCTTGTACCTCCCCGCGGGACCAAGAAAGCGTTCTGTCCGGAGCGCCGAGGCTGGACATGTGTCCGAGGAGCAACAGCAGCAGCCCGGCGACTCCTTAGACGAAGAAGAGCCCAGCAGGTGACTGGTATATTTAGCTGGTAACCCATAGTTTGGGGCTTTGTTATATGCTGTGCATAATTTAGCTTTATTTAAATTGGACCCTGCTGGGTCACTAGTAAGCTAATGTTAGCATGCAGCTCATAAAAAGACAGGCAGCGTATGTGCAGGCTTTTAACCCCCCTTCAAAAAGCAGTGACTCTAAAAACTAACTCTAACTGAAGCCTCTTTTGGAAAAGCTAAAGTTAAAATAGCAAGTCCAGTTTTTGCTTCTGTTTTAACTTGTGAGGATTGTCATCAGGTCATAATTGACAAGTGCTGTGTTGTTGTTTACTGTAGAAATGTAATTTGGTTTTAATACAGTAGATCAACAATGTCCAGCTCTTCCTGCATTATTTTGCGTTTATCTGGGCTCAACCTTTTTTTTCCCACTGAAGTGTAGTTTTGGTAATGAATAAAAAAGAACACGTTCAAAGCTGTGTCATCCCAAACCAAGTCACGATTTTTCCCCATATAAAAGTTGCACCAAGCCAGGACCCTCTTCGCCTAAATTACATGCAGAGCATTCAAGTTTTCAAGCGAGGTCCGATTTTTGAGTGATGAAACCTTCTTCCGGTGTTTGTGTCATTCAGATACTTCATAGAAAGAGGTGTAATGGGATCCTCATATCATTCATTAGCCTAAAATAATACTTGTGCTCATTGGGTACCCTTTTTGACTGCTTGTTAACACAAATATATAATCAACCAATCACACGGTGTGAGTGGCAGTTCTCTGGGTGAACATGGCTTGTTCTCACAGCACATCAAACCCTGAAGCAGATGGGCTACAGGGCAGAGGATTACATAGGAAAAGGAAACTGATGCTGGAATTCAAAGGAGATTTTTCAGCACCCTTTGGGTACTTTTGTACCAGCTGACCATTGTTTAAACACCACAGCCTACCTGAGTGTCATTGTTGACCATGTTCTTTCCTTTATAGCAGCAGTGTGTCCATTGTCTTCTTCCAGCAGAATAATGCACTGTGTCAGATAAACTAAATCTGGTTTCTTCAACATAAAAATTAGGTCATTGCACTCAAATGGCCTCCACAGTCACCAGATCTCAATCTAATAGAGCACCTCTGGGATGTGGTGGGATGGGATGTTTGCATCCATGGATGTGCAGCTGACAAAATCTGCAGCAACAGTGTGATGCTAACTGTTTGACTGTCTCACAAAGAATGAACTTTTCAAAGAAACTCACTTCATTCTTTGTACTTATCTTGGATTGAAGTGAGATTTGTCAATAGTAAAACAGATGGTAGTTAGAAAAAATTTCAGTTTCTTTAAAAAATAGCTTGGTTTTTTGAGTGATGTAAAAAGACTGTTTTGGTATCAGTTTTAGCAGATAAGTATAGGTATAGAACCATGTTTGTAGTCCCCTCAGAAATCACATGGGTTACTCTTTTGGCTATTTAAATCTAAAAGTAACATTAAGTTAAAACATTTTTGGTCTTTCTGTGAACATGAAGCTGGCCTGACAGAAATGACTAACTTAAATGTGAATGTTCTCACAGGTTAAAGTTCCCTTCAGACTTGGAGGAGCTGCGGGAACTCGCTGAACTCTTGCAGTTCTACAAGACAGAGCACACTGGATATGTCCTGCTCCTCTTCTGCAGTGCTTATCTCTACAAGCAGTCCTTTGCTATTCCTGGATCCTCATTCCTGGTAAGGTAATAATGTCCTGTGTACAGATAGATCCAGGATGATAAGGCAAGCATTGTGATGAGCACAAAACTGGTAGATTTCTTGTGCTGGTTGTCTTAAAAACACATGTAAAATCCTTTTAATGAAGCATTTTGTATGTTTAAATACATTACGAGAACACATGGGCTAAAATATGCCAAAAGTGTCACATCTTGTAGGTGTGAAAAGATTACATTTGCATGCAAGATGAAGGAAAATTTAGAAGGCACTTGGGCAGCATGCGGTATGCAGCTTGTGTCTCTTGTTTAAATAAATGTGGAGGATAAAAGAATATTCAGATAATGCAAATGACAATCTGAGTGGGCAGAACTGCCAAAATACTGGCTTCACACCAGTGTTAGATCACAAAGTATTTCTCTCCTTTCGCATGTAGAGATGCCACAGAGCTGTGTGTCAGATGATGCCTATTAACGCGGGCTTTTGGTCTCCATTTGTCATTGTGTAGAACATTCTTGCGGGAGCTATATTTGGACCCTATCAAGGACTGCTGCTTGCCTGTGTGCTCACAACCGTGGGCTCTACAATGTGCTTCCTCCTCTCCCAATTCTTTGGAAAACACTACATTGTGAACCTCTTCCCAGATAAAGTCTCCACGTTGCAGAGAAAGGTATGACCGGGCTGTCACACAAACAAAACCCACTGAAGGAAACAAAGATAGTTTTTGAAATACCGGTGGACTAAAATTAACAGTTGTTTTCTCAGAGAACAACTGTTAATTTGGCTGTGTGTGCTGTAAATAAACAGTAAAGAGGGCTACGCTTTATCTTATTTACAAAAATCAAATGTTTTAGCTGTCAAGCTATTATTAACAATAACACTTCCAACAAGAAGACATTGGCCATATCATATTATCACTTTAGAAATCCAGTATACTCACTTCTGCACATAGAATCTGATAAATCAGTGACTTCTTGTCCTTGAAAAGGAAGAAATGGTTGACAGGTGTAATTTCAGACTCTGCTGTCAAATGTGTAGAAGCGATATTGTTGTGTTCCCTCACGAAGCCCAGGAGAAAGTTTGACACAGAGCCAGCCATAACCTAAAATTTCAGAGATAACAGCTACCAGAATGTCAGCTTTCTTTGTTAGGTAGGCCTTTCTGCTTCAGGCTGTATGTGTGCTTATGTGAAAGGGGGTGTTTGCTACATCACTCTTCTTGCTCATAAAATAGATTGAGTCCCACCTACTCCAGTCAGAGACACCTGGTGATAGAGCAGGTGATAGAGGTCTGTAAAGAATATGAAATATGTAACCACTGAAGGCAATACTGCTGGCTCAAAGAAAAAAAAAAGACAACAGGACAATGCTGGCAGGAAGTCATTAATCTTGTGAATTCATGAGTTTATGTGTTGTTGTTGTTGTTTCTTTCTGACAGCTGCACATTAGACCCTGAAACCTTAAACTCGATCCACTTAAACAGCTCTGTCTCCCATCTCACCGTCTGATGACTGAGACGTGGAAATCACTTTAGTTTGTTGCCAAATGAAAATGTAATTAATTAGTTATTAAATATTTTGGCTGATAAATATCCTACAAATAAATCCTAAAAATAGGTTAAAAGATCAGCTGGTCTATGTTTAACCTGTGGCGTAAACAGTGTGAAGCAGACTTGGCAGTTCCAGGCATAAAAGGATTCTGTGTAAGAGTGCAAATAACTCTGATTTTCAGCTCAACATACACTATATTGCCAAAAGTATTCACTCATCCATCCAGATGGTTGAATTCAATCCAATAGAACTCCCCTGGGATGAATGAGAGCGGAGACAGGCCTTCCTGTCCAACACAGTGTCTGACCTTACAAATGTGCTTTTGGAACAATGGTCAAAAATTCCCATAAACAGACTCATTAACTGTTATATCCTTTTCAGACGAGATCGGGTCGGGTGTGCTCAGGGATGTATGGCTGCAAGCTAAGGTGCGAAGGGTGGGCCGACATCATATTAAGCGCTATGGGTTAAGAATGGGATGTCACTAAAGTTCACATGTGTGTGAAGCCAAACGATCGAATACATTTGGCATTATGTCACTAAGCTATTAATTTTGCTTGGTAGTACAGTGCTCAGGGGACGTGAGAGAAGCAATAGTGAAAAAGGAGTCAATATTTTTTCTTTTTAAGTTTTAATAATTAAACCGAAAGAGATCAAATGCAGCAAAACCTGAGACATGGCTTTGCTGTGTGGGTCACAAAAAGAATAAGTTGAAGAGAACTGATCAAACACGCTCCTATGCACGGCTCACGTGCTGACACAGCAGTGGCTCTCCCTGACCTAAAGTACTCCCTGTGCTGAATGCTGAGTGGAGTCAGCTGCAGAGGGCGGTGCCAAGGACAGGAGAGAGGGATAACCCACGCGCACAGGCAAAATAAGGTAGGCCTGCTGGGCCTGTAACGGACGTATATGTACTGACAAGACGAGCTTCTTCGTAGCTGGTGGGTGTTTGGCAAATATCCGAGTATACTGAGAGTTATGCCAGATTTGGATTTGCATTATTATTCACCAAAAGGACTACTTGACTGTAACGCTTTGAAAAGATGACTCTTGGTATAGTTTTGCTGATGAGTTAACTTGCACGTGACTAGTTGATGTGAACAGGGGACGAGAACGATGACACACACCTACCTCCTGCCTCTGTAAATATCTCCAGCCCGTCTGATCTGTTCTCCATATCTTCCAGGTGGAGGAAAACCAGGACTGTTTGTTCTTCTTCCTGCTCTTCCTGAGGTTCTTTCCCATGACTCCCAACTGGTTTCTGAATATGTCTGCCCCAATTGTAAACATCCCCATCACCTTCTTTTTCTGCTCAGTCTTTATTGGTAAGCACACACAGATTTTCTGCTTGTTGACACTAAGTGAGGTACGTCTAGCACTCCACATTGAAAACAAAATACTGGATGACGATGGGCTTCAGCTTTTAAAATAGTCAGTCACTATTGACAGGCTAAAACCAAGCTTATTAGCTTTAACTTTTTGAATTATCGCTCCCTGGAAAACTCTGCTATATCTATTAATACACCTCTAGATTTAGATAATTGTGCCTATAAAAAATCATAACCATATCTGACTCAAACTGACTGATTTCCTCGTCTTTAAACGATACAGTTGCAGGCATCTTTGCTCTGGTCATGATCATTAAACTTGCACAGAGAGCAACAACCTCTTTGACTCTGACTTTCAGGTTGAAAGTTAAATCGTACTGTTAATAGAAAAGGAACAGAACAGGTATAAATGTTGGCAACAGTGTCGGCCACTTGTAGGCTCTTAGTATCCAGCGCCCATCACACACATGAAAACGTTGTTGTTTTTTCCTTACTAATTTTGATAACTGCATTTGTTTGTTTTTAAGGGTATTAACAAAATTATTACTTATATGTTCGAAATAAATGTCGTTGTCGGATTGATTGTGATGTTGTTACTTACCAGCTCGTGCCAGGCCTCCTACAGCTGGCATTAAACCTAATTAAACTCCTCTTCACAGCACAGACTTAAGCCTGGTTTCTACATAGATATGCACACTAAGAATTTATATGGTGGCATATGCCAACACTCCGGTTTAACCACATGAGTTGTAATAGATTAAAAACAAGTAACTGTTTTTAAAGGGGGGAAAAAAACACAGTTTTCATGTAATAGCATAGGGTTAGGATTATGGGTTCTTGGACCTTACAGGGTTAAGCAACAACAACACAACACTGCATCTGTCATTGCAAATTAAGTTACCCATCGTGTCTCAGCACAATTTGTTCTTGCTCTATTGTCTGCTTCTTCAGGCCTCCTGCCATACAACTTCATCTGCGTCCAGACAGGCGTCATGCTATCAGAGGTGTCATCGCTGGATGACTTGTTCTCCTGGGAGCGGCTCCTGCAGCTGCTGGCCATCGCCTGCATGGCTCTGCTGCCTGGTGCCCTCATCCGCCGCTTCAGTCAGAAGCGACTCAAACTTGGCACCCAGTCACAGAATGGACTCGATAAGAAGGTCCAGTGATCCATCCTGGGACTAAGTTTGTTTGTTAACATACTGATGCCTTCTGCCCTCGAGAGCGAATGAAACACACACACACGTGTAAAGTGCTTTACTGTTGCACAGCCACCTGGACAATTCACAGTGGGAGTATTTGAGAATTATGTCCTACCAGATATTTCCGTGCCACATGTTGGCACAGCAGTAAATGTTTATAGATGTAGGAATGTACAGTGGTGACACAAAGGGGAGGGAGGGGGGCATTTTAAGGAAACTTTGCTCTTGCACTCATGTTCAGAAAGCAAGTGTTCAAAGTGCCTGTCGTGGAGTTTTGAACTCACACTTCTACCTCCATGAGCACCAGAAAGAGATGGTGTAAATGTTTGTTGTTGGTTTTGTGGGGCTTTT